CAGAGTGCCAGGATGACAGATGTGCACCAGCCTCAGCTGAGATGGGTTTATTCGTTTTTTTGGGGGGGTTCATTCTTGGTAGAGGAAGCAGGCGCCCCAATGTTTGGCTCTGAGGGTACTGTGGCAGCAGCCAGGCCTCCTTTCTTCCCATCCTTGTTCCTGTATTCCTTCCCTTCTTTCCCTCTGGGAGATTATTCTTCTGTCTGAACTAAGCTTGCCATGGGGGCGTGGCCCTCCTCTGCCATCTCTGGATGTCCCCACTTTCTCTCCTGGACAGGCTGCCAGCTGTGCACCCACTCCCTACCCTGCCCTGCCAGGAACTTGGGGTGTCCCTTCCTGCCTCCCACCTCCCCCTTGGGAACCCAGTCGGAGCTCACAGAGCCCCTTCCTAGGTACTGGGCACTGGGGGATGGTGGCTGCCTGGCCCCAGGCCCTCTTCCTGACAGCTGCTCCTGGCCTGGGCCCCTTTCTGAGCAGCACTCCTCCTCTGCCTGCCCTGAACAGTTCTGAGCTGGGCCTGCTGAGTCCCGTCGCCTCTGCGTTCTTGGCCGCAGCAAGCGAGCAAGGGGAGTGGAGTTTTGCAGCCTGATGCAAGATCTGGCAAGGCTGGGCCTCTTATCAGGGCTGCCTCCCAGCCCCCTCCCTGGCTGCACTGTTCACCCACCTTCCCTAGGGGCGGCAGGGCCTGGCAGCCATCCATGTGGGGCCATGCAAGGGGAAAGCTTGCTCTCCTGCTGACCAAGAAGGCCCCTTGCCAAGTCCTGAAGCAGGCCGAGCAGAAGGACCCCTAGGGGAGAGCTGGAGGGAAGCGGGTACTCACTGTCAGCTCCCAGGCCCAAGCCCTCTTCCTTCCTCCTCCTTCCAGCTGTGAGGCGCTGGAACTGAACACCTGGGAGCTGATAGAGGGAGTGGAAATTCCTGCCTGTGGTGCACACACAGCGAGCGCTGCAGGTGCCCATCGCGGTGCCCCTGGCACAGGTTCCTGGCACACACTGTTGTGTGCACACAGAACGCAAGCTCCCAGTGTGTGCGTGTGGGCCACACATCAGCAGGAAGGCCTCAGTTTCATTTTGTTTCTATTTTTTTTCTTGGTGGGGGAGGGGATTTTTTTTTTTTTTTTTTTTTTTAATGAGTTTTTTTTTTTTTTTTTTTTTTTTTTTTTTTTTTTTTTAAGGACAGAGTCTCCTTGTGTAGCTCAGACTGGCCTTCAGCTCACTGTCTACCCAAGACTGGCCCTGCTTCAGCCTCCCAAGCGCTGGCATTTTAGACAGCACACCACACTCTCCTCATACTTTGCACCAACCTAGGGTGATTAAGCATCTTGCATTGGGCTAAATGCTTTGGGAAAGGTATTCATTCATTCATTCATTCATTCATTCAACAAGTAATTATGGAGGATCTGTTCTAGGTGGGGCACAGTTCCTGGCTCTGGGAACACAAAGGTGGAGTGGACATTCCGCGGATGAAAGAGGCCCTGTCCATCCTGGGAGGAAGTGAGGCAGGAAGCAGAGGGCAGTGGGGTGGGGACAGCATCAGTGTGAAGCTGGCGGTTGGGAAAGACTCAGAGCAGGGGGCGGGGATGTTGGAGCTGAGTCCTAAATGTTAGGAGACCTTGGAGTGGCTGGAAGAGCCTCAGAGCAGAGGGCCCAGCCGGGTCTGAGGAGCCACCTGCAGCCCCAGGCTGAAGACAGCACCGCTACCACAGCTCCGTGCTCCAGGCAGAGTTCAGAACGTGGGTGGGCGGGAGCTCCGGGAAAGACGAAAATGCTGCGAAAGATTGCGGAAGGTGCGTGGGGTGGCGTGGGCGGTGCTGCGTCTCCTAGGCAGAGGGCTCTGTGGAGATGTTGAGCCCGCGTGAGGTTCCAGAGAAGTGGAGGAGCCACAGCCACCTGGACCTGCGACCATCGTTGCAGGCAGGCAGACGCCAGACGGAGAAGCTGGGGTGGAGGGACACAGAGGAGGACGGTTCACCCGGAGCTAACACAAAGGAGGGCTCCAGCCTCTGCAGGGCCGGCAGAGAACTCAGCGGTGTGGGAGAACTCAACGCATGGGCTCCTCTGTCCCCTTCTGCTGTTCACTCCAAGCAGGAGAGCTGGGCCGGCAGCTGCCACCAGCCTGGCACCCTTGAGTGTGACCTCCCCTGGCACCCAGGCTGGGGGATGCCACCTTCCCTAAGCTGTTGCTCAGCGGCAGTGGGAAGAGGCAGAGACTGCAGGCGAGCTGGGCGGGGCCACCTTTGCGCTTAGCCAGGAGAGATGTGGACTCTCAGACCCCCTGTGTCGCAGATGCCCCAGCCGTTCCTCATGCAGGTTCCAGGGAGAAGGTTCTGGCAGAGCCTCAGTCAAGTGACCCGGCCTGAGCCCTGTCCCCTTCCTCATGACCCCGTGGGCTCCTGGCACCCGAGTCCTTCCATTTCCTGACTCTGGGGACCCACCAAGGCCCTCCTGGAATCTGCAGACCCCCTCTCCTGCCCCTTGGGCTCCGAAGCAAAACGGGCAGCCTGCCAGGGCCAGAGTGGAGCCTCCAGCTCACCTTACTTCATGCCAGCCATGTTCCAGCCTCGATGCTTCCTTTTAGGGCAATGCAGGGAAGGATCTCAGGAACGCTGGTTTGTGCTGGGGTGAGGAGGCTGGGGCGGCACCACAGAAATAGTCTGGGCAAGGGAAGGGGAGGAAAACTGTCATCAAGGCCACCCTTGATGTGCCTCAATCTCAAAGTTGTTAGACCCAGGAGGGAGGAAGCAGCTAGGCTCCCTCTCTGGCCCCACCCTGCCTTCTCTTTCTTAACAAACACTTGTCCTGCACCACACATATTCCTTATGTGGCAGAGAATGCCCTTTTCATGCTACAGGGAACAAGCTGAAGCCCAGAGAGGTTAAGTCATTGACATAGGATTGCCCAGCATGGTGGGGACTCAAGAAGGACTAGAATCATGGACTTCTGACACCAAAGCCTTCGGTTTCCCCGACAACACGAGGCACTGGCAACTCTCACCCAAGACCGGGAGAGCAGACAGGGTCTTACACCTCCCACACTGGAGAATGACACAGGTGGCCTCATTCTGCACCTGAGGGCGCACGGGAACAGGGCCCATTGGGCCATTCTGCACACTCATGCCCGAGCAGGGCAGGTGCCACTGTTGGTCTGGGAACAGGAACTGGACAAACTCCTAGCTGGAGAGCCCCTCCCTATGTGTTATAAGGGGCCTGCGCACCAAGAGACCTGATGATTGCTGCTGGAGGAACCCTGGGTGGGTGCCTTAACTGCTTTCTACCTCAGTCTCCTCATCTGAGAAATGGACCTATTGCTACCCCCAGGGCTTCAGCGAGGGGCTTCAGCGTGTGGCACCGCTCAGGAAATGCCAGCAGCCTGTCTCAGTGCGGGAGGCCATCGTGTCCAGGGTGTGTGTCCAGAGAGAGTGCAGCCGTGTCTACTTGTTCTATTCTCTGCTACATCGCAGGGCCTGGGACAGAGGCTGCCCCATCAGTGTTCAGAAAATACTTGTGTGGCGTGAATACCAGAGAAGACCCAGGAGACAGGAAGAGGGCTGTTCCATTGTCCCCATGCCAGCCTGTGGCCCCTGCCTTTTCTGCCCCTCCCTAGCCCTCCACACTCCAGAAGCACCTCCAGCTCTCTATCTCACCACTGCCTTTCCCCACAGGGCACATTTTCTGGCTGTCCCCAAGGTGTGACAAAGCTACAGCATGTCTGCCATCTGCTCTTATTTATTTTTTTTCTTTCTTTTTCTGTCTTTTTGAGACAAGGTCTTGCTATGCAGTTCAGGCTGGTCTTGAACTTACTTTGTAGCCCAAGCTGGCCTCAAACTCTTGCTGATCCTGGTGCCTCAGCCTCCCAAGTGCTGGGCTTAGAGGCCTTCTTCACCACCACACCTAGCCCCACAGCTCATCTGCATTTTCTCCTCCTTTTCTTTTTGTCAAATGGGTTCACTTACCTCAGAAGATCTCAGCCCAGGTTACTCTGGCCACAGTGTCCTGAGACATTCTGATTGTCACAGTTGTGTGGGGCTGTGCTGCCAGTGAGAGGACCTCTCAGAGGCCCAGGACACCTGGCACGGCCCACGGGCTTTTTTATTTTTTATTTTTTTGTGGAACCAGGGATTGAACTCAGGCCCTTGCGCTTGCCAGAGAAGCGCTTATTCCACTGAGCCATCTCCCCGGCCCGACCCACGGGCTTTGCAGCCAGAAGGGTCCCAGTGTAGTGTGAGCAACCTTTCCCCCGTCTCCTTCATCAGTGCCCCGAATCTGCACCGCACTTTTCAGAAACTGTTTTGTGGATTCTCCACGTGGACATTTATAGCTCCACCTCCTCTTTTGTGGCCACCTGATGACCCATTGCACAATGCCCACCATCTCTTGTGTAGTTGGTTTTAGTCTCTGCTGCTATAAGCGTCTCTGGTATAGGGGGCATTCTCTGTCTGAGCCATGTGTCATGTAAGGACGAGGGGGACATCTTCTGAGAAATGCATTGCCAGGCCATCTTGTCCTGATCTGAGCATCCTGGGATACCTGCAAACCCAGCCCTGGTGGATGGGCCACCCTCCCGCCTAGGCCTCTTGTTCTCACTTCAGGTGCTGGGGACAGACCCAAGGCCTCCTACCTGCTAGGCAAGCCCTCGACCACTGAGCTACAGCTCCCTGTTCTTGGCCTCTTGATGCAAAGTCAGTGATTTGCTCCTGCTCAGATAGACTTGCTTTGGTATTCCCATAAAAAAAGTCAGTTACCTGGCTCCTGCCTGTCATCCCAGCACTTGAGAGGTGAGGCAGGAGGATCAACACAAGTTTGAGGCAGCCTGAGCTACATACCAAGACTCTGTCTCACCTCCCCCAAAAATAGATACCTCAGGTCCCCTGGGGCATGGTCTGCCCTGAGAGTGGGACTGAATCCTGGTACTACAGAGGGTGGGACCCTAACGTCCTGGCGTACGGGTGCCCTGTCTGCCTATTCTACAGACCTGGTGTTCTGACTGTTAGTCTCTCCACAGAACAAGGGTGACCCCATCCGAAGAGGACGGGCCAGGGCCCAAGAGACACTCCCATGCTGAGCGCCCACCATAGCGGGGAAGCCCTACAGCACCGGCCCCATGGAGAAAGGACTCGCTGTGGCCCAGGACTGCCGGGACTTTGTGCACAGCCTGAGGATAAGGAGCAGATACGCCCTTTTCCTGGCCTTTGTGGTGGTAGTTTTCGTCTTCATTGAAAAGGAGAATAAAATCTTATCAAGGTGAGGGGCTCAGAACAAATCTCCCTCAGCAAAGTGGTGTTGCTGCGAACAGAGGAGACTTCAGGGCTCCCTGTGGGCTGCAGGGGTGCCCCTCTTGTGTTCCCAGCAGGGAGCGGCCTACACTCCTCTTGACTGACTGCCCCTAAGGGAGGCTTGGGCTCTGGACTCAGGCAGCCAGGGACAAGGACGGCCGCGCCCCAGACTGGGAGCTCAGGAGAGCAAGGTACTTTGCTTCTCTGAATGGCTCGTCTTCTGCAGCCGTGGCTCACGATGGGCTCTGCCTTACTGGAAAGGCTAACCGAGAAAGGAGAGGGGTTAGCCCGGTGTCCAGCAGGTGGTGATACCTAGCATTTGCTGGCTGCACCTACATGTTAGTAATCGACCTCATGGCCTGGTGGGATGGGTCTGATTAGCACCACACCCCATACACGGATCTTGGTGTTACGGACAAGGGGGAACATGAGTGAGTGGAGAGTCTGGTGGGTAAGTTATGCACTGCTTCACTCCAGCGCAATGTCCCGCAATAGGCTACTCTGCAGACTGCCCCATCCTCCACTGGGTTGGCAGGATACTACAGTGGACCTGCCCAGCTTTCTTAGGCTATTCTCGCAGAGACAAACCCTGCAGATAGACAGGTTAAGGGTTGGGCTGAGTGGCAGACAGTACCAGTGCCCACCTGGTCAGCATGGAGCAGCCCCGTCTTACCGCATACGCCCGCACCTCTATACCCAGGTCCTCTCTCCTACCTCCTCTGGCCAACCTGAGGCTCGGGTGTAACTATCTCTCATGTTTCCCAAGACTCCAAGTTAGTGACCTAGACTCTACTCTTTGCCCCCAACTCTGCTTCTGGGGAAACCCAGCCTGGACAGGCAGTGGGTGAGCAACCTGGAAGGCCGCTTGGGCCCCACGTCAGATGCTGACCCCCATCTCCTTTTGTCCTCAACAGGGTCTCACACAGGCTGAAGCAGAACTCCCAGTCCCTGGCCGATGCCAACGGCACTGACCCAGCCCTCATCCTGGCTGAGAATGCATCCCTCTTGTCCCTGAGCGAGCTCAATGCCCCCTTCTCCCAGCTGCAGAGCCGCCTGCACAACCTCAGCCTACAGCTGGGGGTAGAGGCCGAGGGCAAGGGGCAGGAGCCCGAGGAGGCAGCCACGAAGCCCCCCCAGCCGGCCTTGGCCCCACACCGGCAGCGACGCCACGTGCTGCTCATGGCCACCACCCGCACAGGCTCCTCCTTCGTGGGCGAGTTCTTCAACCAGCAGGGGAACATCTTCTACCTCTTCGAGCCACTATGGCACATCGAGCGCACAGTGTCCTTTGAGCAGCGTGGCGCTAGCGCAGCAGGCTCAGCCCTTGTGTACCGGGACGTGCTGCAACAGCTGTTCCTGTGTGACCTGTACGTGCTTGAGCCCTTCATCAGCCCGGTGCCTGAGGCCCACCTGACCCAGTTCATGTTCCGCCGGGGCTCCAGCCGCTCGCTGTGCGAGGACCCGGTGTGCACGCCCTTTGTCAAGAAGGTCTTTGAGAAGTACCACTGCAAGGACCGCCGGTGCGGGCCCCTCAACGTGACGCTGGCGGCTGAGGCCTGTCGGCGCAAGGAACACATGGCCCTCAAAGCCGTGCGCATCCGCCAGCTGGAATTCCTGCAGCCACTGGCCGAGGACCCCCGGCTGGACCTGCGTGTCATCCAATTGGTGCGCGACCCCCGCGCTGTGCTGGCCTCGCGCATGGTGGCCTTTGCTGGCAAGTATGAGACTTGGAAGAAGTGGCTGGCCGAAGGGCAGGACCAGCTGCAGGAGGAGGAGGTGCAGCGTCTGCGGGGCAACTGCGAGAGCATCCGGTTGTCGGCTGAGCTGGGCCTGCGCCAGCCTGCCTGGCTGCGCGGCCGTTACATGCTGGTGCGCTACGAGGACGTGGCGCGCAGGCCGCTGCAGAAAGCGCGTGAGATGTACCGCTTCGCCGGCATCCCCCTGACTCCACAGGTGGAGGACTGGATCCAGAAGAACACACAGGCGGCCCTGGACGGCAACGGCATTTACTCCACACAGAAGAACTCCTCGGAGCAGTTCGAGAAGTGGCGCTTCAGCATTCCCTTCAAGCTGGCCCAGGTGGTGCAGGCCGCCTGTGCGCCCACCATGCGCCTCTTCGGCTACAAGCTGGCCAGGGACGCTGCCTCCCTCACCAACCGCTCCATCAGCCTGCTGGAAGAGCGGGGCACCTTCTGGGTCACGTAGGGCCCTTGGGCCCCTGCATATCCCTCCTTGTGAAAGGCCTGCTCTGCCTTCCTTGCACCCAGGCCAGCAAGAGATGCAGTCCTGGTGGAGTACAGTGGGTGGTAGCTGCCCTAGAGCAGGCAGCCAGCTCCTCCTGCAGCTGTAGGCTTCCTGCTCCCAGCTTCCATGCAGCACGGGCCCTGGGGCCCTGTCCCTTTGAGGGCCACCCAGATCTAAGAGATGTCAGTCTCCTAAGCAGGACCAGACAGGCTCTGGACCATTAACAAGCCTCATTCTTCTCTCTCTCTCTCTCTCTCTCTCTCTCTCTCTCTCTCTCTCTCTCACACACACACACACACACACACACACACACACACCCAAATGCCTGAAGGCTCTGTGGGCTGGAATCCAAATACTTAAGAATCAAGGGGCCTAGGCCTGGACCAGCCGCTCAGATCCCCTGCTATACTCAGTGTTAACCTTTTCCTTCCAGATTGTGGAGAAGCTGGGATTCTGGGTAACTGCTTGGGGACAGATAGGACAGCCCAGGTTGGAGAGGGAGACATATAAAGCTCAAATGGTGACAGTGGTTCTTTACCAACCACTACAAATTGATATGTTGTTTTAGTAAACAGGATAGCAGGGGGTCCAGGGAGATGGCTCAGTGGAATAAGCGCTTCCCTGGCAAACCTGAGTTTGATCCCAAAAAACAAAACAAAAAACCAGGATAGCAGGGCTGGTGGTCAATGAATACCAGCCAGGTATAGAGCTACAGAGCACATATACATAGATACACATACCACAGGCAGACAGAAGAATGCCACAAAAACACAAGTCCGTACACGTGTGTACACAGAAGGTCCTGTAATGCTCATGGGGTTTTTTTTGTGTCCCACATCTAAAGAGGAGTCTTTAATTACATTTTTAGAATTAACTGGAGGGGCAGGAGAAGGAAACTTGATTCCCTGGCTAATGTTGGGGCTGAATGGTGAACAGAACTGCCCAGCCCACACCTCTCGTCCACCCGGGATCCTCAGACTGCCTCTTCCACATCTCTGGGCCGGCAGGCAGGATGTTCCCGCCTCCTGTGAGAGCCTGGCTGTTTCCCTGGAGCTTGCTATATTTGAAAGCTGCCTTGGGCCTGACTGGCAGAGGTAGCTTTGTCCCTGGAGGCAAAGGACAGCTCATTGGTCAGGACTTGTCCAGCAGGCCTCATCCGGGACCAGGCTATGAGGTTCAGAGTGCTCTGGGGACATGAGTCACATCAGGATGTGCACTCCCCGCAAGCCTGCCTTCTCCCTGGAGGTAACCAAAGGTCAGCCAATTGGTCCCCATGGTTATGCCGAGACTCTGAAGGATTCTGAGAAGAGCACAGTATTGCTCAATTCTGGGTGTTTTGCTTAGGGATTTTAGGTTATTTATGGCTTGGTGTCTTCTTTTCTAGCTGTTTTCCCTTTTGTTTCTGCCAGAGTAGTCTGAGTCTGAGGGGCTGGGGGACTTGGGGGAAAGGAGGAGGGAGCTGGGCTCCCGCAGGGGCGGACAGGAAGGGAGCCTTCTTCAGCAGGATCTGAGCCCAGTGGTTCTCTCAGCTCCCACAGCCTATGCATGTGAGCCCCACATGGAACCCATCTCAGAAACCACCAGCCGTCTTGCTATGTCCTCACCTCTCGGGAGCAGATGTTGCATGTGACAGACCCTGACATGTTTCCTCATAACCAAGCAGCAACTGTCCCCAAAGTGCTGCCATGCACATGAACAAGGGACAAATGGGAGCTGGCTCCCATAGGGGACCCAAAGGGACACTGGCTCTAGAAACTTGACCATAAGGCCAAGCAGGCCAGCATGGTTCTGACAGGCCCAGGAATGCCAGTCCTTTCCCAACACCTGTCCTTTCTCTCCTCCGTCTTCTCATGGGGGAGGAAGGGCTTGGGCAGGGGATGGCCACCTCTCTGCCCACCTCTCTGTGGTGCTTTTCCTTGGGGCCCCTGGTTGGAGAGTAAACAGCTTCTTTCTCCTTGAGCCTAGTCCCAGGTTTCCCACAGCCTCTGAGGACAGCACTGAGAATGGACCCTGGGGGACTTCCCAGACACTGCAAGTGACTTTATTTATTTTGTGAAGAGACAGATGATGTCCCTCAAAGGAACACAAAGCTATACTCAAATCAAGGGAGACAAATAGTCCTAGACACCCATACTCAGGACACCCAAGGACACTCCAAGCATACGAAGGGCAAAAGCACTGTGCATACCTGCCCTGGGTGTGGCTGGAGGGGCCCCTTGGGTTCTCTCCTGTTGATCTGAATATGTGACCCAAGGACCCTTACTGCTGTCTTGTCTTTCCCAGGAGTCTGAGACAGGACTACTCAGCAGGTGGGCACAACCTGGAAATATCACCCTGGGGCCTGGCAGTGCCACAGGAATCCTTGGGGCTTGGTAGGGGGCAGTGAGGGGGCGATGAGGTTGGAGTCCTGCGTTGAGGCTTCAGCCAGGAGCTGGGAAGGAGGAGGTGGTCTGGGTGGTGTCATGGCTGGCACTGTGGCCCCCTTTCCTGCGTGGTCGCTACCTCTAATGATGGCAGGCACCAGGAGGATAGACCTGGCCAGATGAGTGGGTGGAGGGGTGAGATGGCCTAATCCAAACTCTAAAAAGCCTCTGCCAGGCCAGAGCTCATTGTTACTGACTGGAGGGCTTGTTCCTTGAGAACTGGATTTTGAAGGACAGCTGCACAAAAGCAAATGGTGAGTCCCCAGGGAAGTACCCTCCCTATCCCAGCCACAAGATGAAATAAAAGTGAACTCAAGCTGGGTGTGGCGGCACGTACCTGTGCTCCCAGCACTCAAGAGGCTGAGGCAGGAGGATCATTGAGAATTCCAGACCAGTTTGGGCTACAAAGTGAGTTCAAAGCCAGTCTGAACTACATAGCAAGACCCAGTCTCCAAAAGACACATGTATACACACAGAGAAAGTGAATTCCAGTCTCAAAGAGTTGATACCAAGGCAGAGAGAAGCCACCCCCCCAGCAACTGCCCACAGTGTCAGATTTAGTGGACACTACTCTATCTCAAAAACATGAAGCAGAATTGGTGACATAAAAGTTTCCAGACCCTCTGACCTTGTGTCCTTGAGGATTCCATAAAGGCATGCAGGGTGCAAATTCATGTGTTTCCCAGGATACAGACCTGGCGTCACCCTTGAGGTGTAGCTCATGTGGTAGCCGGGTGCCTAATGGGGACAGGATGACCTGGGCATCCTGCCTGGCCATCCCCAGGGCTCTCCATCTCTTCTGCATATTCCAGGCCCAGTGTGCCTGGCTTTCCTGGGTCCTACAAACCCTGGGCTCTAGGCCACACAATAGTCTCTGTGGCATCCATGGCCATGCCATGTACATATGTGTCCACATGTGTATATGCATAACTCATTCTGCTCTGCCTCTGGCACCACAGTGATTCCGACCCTCCTTGTTCCCAGATGTCCTTGCCAATGGCCAGGACGTGCAGTCTCTGGGCAACCCCAGAGCTGCCCTTCTGAGAGAGCTGGCCACCAGCAGTGCTCAGGGTCTGCTTTGTGGACTAGAATGTGAACTCATGGCCTAATGGCTTACTTGACTTATTTAATGAAAAATAAAACCTACAAAGAGCAAACTGCAATGTTTCTTTTCCATTTGTTCACATAGACACGAACAGCAGGAGGAAGACTGGTCTCCTACATGGAGAGCAGGGGAAGGGGGCCATTCCCAAGGTGACAGGCATGAGGGAAGAGTGGACACACGCAGTGGGCACGAAGAACATGCTATCTGGAACCGGGATGGGGCTGGTGGTGACTGCTGGGAGGGCTGGCAAGGAGAGCAGACTGAGCGAGTAAGTATCCAGATCCTACAGGATGGGACAGGAGCATTCAGCAAGCTCTCATGCCACCTGGGCACAAACCCCAGATCGCCTACCATCTGGCCAAGTGACCTTGGACAAGTCCCTTCCACTGTCTGGGTGTCACTATCTTTTGTTGTTTTTATTGTCTGAGATAGGGTCTCACTATGAAGCCCAGGCTGGCCTTGGACTCCTGATGATCCTCCTGCCTCAGCCTCCTGAGTGCTAGGATTACAGGCACGAACTACCAGGCAGGCTATCAGTTTTCTGTTGAATGAAGGGTATTGGTGGCTTATCACTACTGTTTCTAAAAAAGTCTCTTTAGGGGTTCAAAAGTCAGTTGGAAAAGTTGTCAATGCCCTGTCGCCAGAACAACTATGCAAGCCTATTGATTGGTGTCACCCATTAAAGACTTCTGTCAGCCTTCCATAAAATCTTGAAAACCACACAAGATGATTACTAAGGATGCTTTCATCCAATAAATAAGAGAGTCTTTGCAAATAGTAATACATTGCTCAGGGGCTGGGGAGATAGCTCAGTAGAATAAGCGCTTGGCTGGCAAGCACAAGGGCCTGAGTTCAATCCCCAGTTACACACACACACACACACACACACACACACACACACACGTAATACATTGCTCTATCAGTCATAGACATTTAGTGTGATTTAGATTGCAACTTGGTGTTACTCAGCTGCTGTGGCTATAACAAATATCCGAGCTAATCCTCTTATAAAGAGGAAAGGGTTATTTTGGCTTATGGAGTTGGAAGTTTCAATCCACTACTGGGTGGAACTATGCTTTTAGGCCCATCTAAGAGCCGCCCGCAGGGGCCAAGTGCCTCCGGGGAAAGGAGAGGGTTTGTTCAGAACACACATAGGGTGTGGAGCCAGTGTGGCTCTGTGGGGCTCTGGGCTTGGTGGCAAGGACAGCAGCCACTGTGAAGAGGCAGAGGAGAGTGGAGCCCTGGGGAGCCCATGCTTCTTCAGGGAGGGCCCGAGTGAGGGAGTGGACGCCTGCCTCCAGCTCCACACAGGTCTCAGCCTTTGCTCCCAGTCTGGGCCTCAGAAATCCAAGTATTTCCCTCCCAAATGGCAAAATACTCCTGTCCAGTGCCAGCCTGGCATGAATAGCACCTCCTCGGATGCAGGGACAAGAGAGGGTCACCCTAGCTTCTGGGTGGGGTTTCCTGCCACAGATGACACCCCGAGAACCAGACTGCCCCAATCACAGAGCGGAGAGCCAGACACCCCTCTCACAGTCCAGCAAGCCCTAGCCCACCAGAAACCCCCTCTTCCTCCCCTCTCCTTCTCACACCCCATGGTCCCCCACTCTGCCTCCTTTACACCCCCACTACCTAGCCCTGGGGAGGCCCTGGGTATCCCATGGCAGGGGTGGGAGCAACTCAGCAACAGTGACAGTCACTGTGGCCCATCAGAGGAGCAGCGGGAGGGACAGGCCCCAGGGCTGCTGCTGGGCAGGCCTGGCCACCCTGGACCAGCAACAGATTGTCCAGAGTGTGCATGGAGGGGCTGGGGTCCAAGGCTGCCCCTGGGGAGTCACCATGCACGTCAGCCTGCTAGCAGTTCCCAGAAGGCCTGCTTTCCTTTGACCATGTTAAGGCTCTCTTCACAGAAAGAACCATTTGTATGGGTGGAGTTCTCACAGGGTGATTTTCCCCCAAACAATGGTGTTTTCAAGACTGCGTTCTACAGAGCTCTCCAGAGCAGTTCTTTGTAGCCACCAAGAGCCTTGGGGCTGAAAGACAAGAAGCAGACAAGAAGATGGTGAATAAGGAGCGTAGGGAGAAAGAGCCCAGGCTCTGGGCTGTGGTCTCCAGCCTGCCTCACTGAATGACAGGACAGAAGGCAAGAGGCAGAGGGGGAGGTGACAGCAGCCTTAGTCACCATGGGCCCCCACACCCATGCTGTCCCAGAAGAGTCCCTGGGTGCTGGAAACTCACCTGCTCCACATCGGTCCTAGTTCTCCCAGAGCCCGGAGTATGAGACGAAGGTTCTCCAAGGAGGCCTTTCTGAAACAGCTGCTCAGAGCTGCTGGCAGGAAAGAGGGGCCCCAGAGGTGCAGCCCACACCCCCAGCCAGTAAACCCTTTGCTCAGGCTTCTGGGACGTTTATTGGAAGAACAAGCAGGCAGTAAAGGCTCAGCAGGAGGGGGATGCCCAGAAGCCTGAATGGGGGAGAAGAGGAGGAGGAAGGAGGGAAGGAGAAAACAGAAAGGGTGATAGAGGGGTGCATTCTGCTGCCCCCCACAGGACAGACAGCAGCAGTGCTGAGACATTGCAGGCACCCAGGGATTCGGCTTTCAGAGGTCAAGGTACACAGGTAACCTTGAACCCCGCTGGCTGTGGGCCAACCCACCCCATGGTAGCCTGCACAGTGCTTTTTTTTTTTGTTTGTTTGTTTGTTTGGTTGGTTGGTTGGTTGGTTGTTTTGTTTTGTTTTGTTTTCAGAACCAGGGATTGAACTCAGGGCCTTACGCTTGCCAGGCAAGCGCTTATTCTATTGAACTATCCCCAGCCCCACAGTGCTTGTTTTTAACAGTTGTCCTTAGAAAACAATTCTTGAGACTGGATGTGATGGCACATGCCTGTAATCTCAGCTCTTGGGAGGCTGTAAACAGGCAGATCACTACAAGTCTGTTCTAGTAGTGAGACTCTGAACACCCTGTAGACCCTTCCCTAAAATACAAAGAAGAAGAAGAAGAAAGAAGAAGAAGAAGATAGTAGTAGTAGTAGTAGTAGTAGTAGTAGTAGTAGTAGTAGAAGAAGAAGAAGAAGAAGAAGAAGAAGAAGAAGAAGAAGAAGAAGAAGAAGAAGGAAGCAAGCAATTCTCAGTGATGTATAGCAGTGGATACCCATATCAGAAACAGAGCAAGCACAAATAAACAATTTAACATTGAACCTCAGACTTCTAGAAAAGGAAGCCCAGGCTAAGCCAAAAGCTTATAGGAGGGAGGAAGTTATAAAAATCAAAGTAGAAGTTAATGAATCGGAACCAAAAAAGATACAAAGAATCAATGAATCAAAGGGTTAATTTTTGGAAAGATTAAACAAAATTGACAAATCCTTAGCCAACCTTATCAAAAAAAGGAAAGAAAAGACTCAAATGCATGCAACTAGGAGTGAAAAGGGTGAAATCACAATGAACCCTGTGGAAATCCAGAAGATCATCTATATCTTCTTTGAAAACTTGTATTCTAGTAAGGTGGAAAATGCAGAAGAAATGGACAGACTTCTACATATATATGATGTACCAATGCTGAATCAAAAAGATATAACAATCTTTATTTTTTTATTTTTGTGTGTGTGGCCAGCTCAGCCCACCAGGGGGCAGGGCTGGCTGGCATGTGGTGCTGGGGGATTGAACTGTGGTCCCTGTGCTTTGCTAAGCCTGCTCTAAGCAGGTGCTCTAGACCACTGAGCCATCTTACCAGCCCAATATAACAATCTTAAATAAACCAATATCAACCAATGACATCAAATATATAATTAAAAGGCTACCAATAAAGAAAAGCCCAGGCCCTGATGGATTCACTGCTAAATTCTACAAGAAATTTATGGAAGACAGTATCACTACTTCTTAAATTCTTTAATGAAATTGAAAGAGAACAAACGCTCCCCAATTCACTCCTGGAAGCAAGCATCAAGCATTACACTGATACCAAAACTGGAAAGAGAGAATTACAGGCCCATCTCTCCAATGAACATAGATGCAAAAATCCTCAATAAGCTACTGGTAAACAGAATGCAACCAATCATCAAGAAGATAATACACCATGACCAAGTGGTATTCATCCAAGGGATGCAGAAATGGTTCAACATATGTAAATCAATAAAGGAATTGCACTATATTAATAGAGCCAAGGACAAAGATGACATGATCATCTCAAGAGATGCAGAAAAAGCTTTTGACAAATTCCAGCACCCATTCATGATTTAAAAAAAAAAAACCTACAGAAA